TACATACAAAAAGCAATGAGCAAGTTCCAGTTCCAATATTCAGACTGTCATCAGAAAAAAAGTCTGCGTTGTTCAACTGGGTGGCTTCAGAAGTGATGTTCCCTGATGGGTATGTTTCAAATCTCTCAAGTTGTGTTGAGAAAGGGCAAAAGTTCTCCGGGATGAAGAGCCATGATTGTCATGTCTTTATGCAGCGACTATTTCCCTTTATGTTTGCGGAGCTACTACCGGCAAAAGTACATGAAGCACTTTCAGGTAATTAATTAATATAATACGATGACATGATTAATTTATTTCTATATATATATATATATATACTAATATGGATAATTTTTGTATTTGTATATATATAAGGAATTGAAGCATTTTTAGGGATCTGAGCACCCGCACTCTTAAAGTGGAAGTTGTCCAACGACTTCATGAAAACATCCCCCTCTTAATCTGCAACCTGGAGAAAATATTTCCGCCTACTTTTTTCCACGTCATGGAATACCTAGTTGTCCACCTCCCGTATGAGGCATTACTTCGTGGACCCGTGCATTATGGATGGATGTATCAGTGTGAAAGGGCCATGAAAACTTTGAAAGGAAAAGCCAAAAACCTAGCAAGAGTTGAAGGTTCTATTGTTGCGGCAAGTTTGACGGAAGAAACATCACATTTCACATCATACTACTTTGCACCGAAAGTACGTACAAGGAAATGAGCTCCAAGAAGATATGATGATGGTGGTGTCGTGCCGACATATATGGAAGACGATGTTCCAGACATCTTTTGTCAAATTGGACGATTGGGTGGGAAATTGAAAGAGGTTTGGTGGTCGACTGATGAAGACGTCCATAGTGCAGTTTGTAGATCCTGCTTCCGAGCGGATCTACAACGAGGTTGTTGCCCGAGTTGACGAACGCCAGACCCAGCTGACTCAGCAGACTGGGACTCCAGTCGTATTATCCACTCTTGAAGTGGATAAGATTTACGAGGAGGTAAATAATTTGTTTTTCTATTAATTTTTCTGATTTATTTTAATTTTTTTCTTAATGTTATTAATATTTTTATTTACAGGTCGCCCCTAGGAAAAAGGGGCGTATCGTCGGGATTGGTTCAGTTAACGATGTCCCTGCAGCGACATCGTCTTATCATCAGGAGCAGCACGATGTCAATGCTCAGCTACGCATGGAGTTGGCTTCGCTCACCGAGCATGTGACTTCTCTCACCGATGTCCTCGACATTTTAGCGGTTGGAAAACCGCAATTGGAGGAGAGGTTGCGTCAGAGACGGGAACGCGGAGGGATTCCAACCCAACAGCATCCACCATCACAGTCACAGCCGGCAACCAACTTTGGAGAGGAGCAGGATTTGGCGAGCCATGACGAGTTCGTTCGGCAATTTCACGACCAGCTTCCGTAGTTTTTTTTTTTTTTTTAATTGTATATTATGAATTTGAAAACTTAATTGTATATTATTTAGTTATTTATAAAATATTTTTTTATTTTTTATTTATAGTTAGATTTTTTATTTTTAAAAAATAAATTATTTATATTTATAATTAATATTTTTTAATAGAGAAAAAAATATTTCGAAGCAAAATCCTCGTAAAGTTTCCAAGTAATGTCCTCGTAATGAAAAGGTAACCACGCCGTTATGAGGAAAAATTTCCTTGTAAATTTGATAGGACCTTACGAGAAAAAAGGTTTTACGATGAACGTGTTTCGACGAAACGCGTTTCCTCGTTATTTCCTAGTAATTGACCATTTACTAGGAAATAACGAAGAAAACCCATCCTAGTAATTGACGAGTTTTCTTGTAGTGAAAGGTATGGACATTTCATCTGATGTATACGCAAACATAAAGTGTATAGTATGGTTAGATTTTGTACAAATATAAGACGAAGCAGAAATGAAAATTAGATGAGAAAGTGTCACCTAACTAAAGGTCCGAAAAGACCAATTAAAACTGGCGCTATGTTTGAGATTGTAAATATAACCGTTGAAGAGAGACGAGAAATCAGAAAGAAAACAATTCGTGGTGGTGTAAGAATAAAGGAGGGTAAATTTGGAAGTTAATCTTTTGTCTTGGGACAGAACTGTGAAGCTGAGATTCACGAGACATAAACAAAAATACAGATTTTTTTTTTTTGAACAGCTCAAAAGCACAGATTTATAAATATAAAAAAACATTCTATTGTGATAACTAATTAAAAATAAATTATAACCGATCTAAAAACAAATTACATTAGAAATAAAACTATGTTTGAAAGAAAATATATTAATGAAGAGATGGAACAAAATGGAAAAACAAAATCATTTATTTTTCTGTTTAAAAAAAAAGAAAAGAAAGACTACTGGAACATAGGGAGTGGTGAAAAAAGAAAAGGAAAGTAGGAATCAATTACAGACATTATTGAGTGTTTCTATTCCGAGAGAAGAAGATGATGAGTTCACCCGTTGTTTTCACTCGACAACCTTAAAACCAAAGGAAGAAGCTTTCTCTCTTCTCTTCAGGGTTCTTCCTCTGAGAGAAGGAACATTTTTATTTATATATTTAAAAAAAATGGGAATGGGAAGGCATCAGAAATCTGGAGTTCCAGCGAGATGGGTTCTTGTTCTCTGTATTTCTAGCTTCCTCCTCGGTGTTCTTGTCATTAACAGGTTCTTTGCATTCTTAATGCTAATGCTGTGGAATCTTGTCTTGTTTTCCCTGCTAACCAGCTTTTTAGTTCAGATTACACTGTTAATAAGGGATTTCGTTTAGAATGTCTCTTCCCCTATATGTCCTGTCTTCACATTAGTGAATCTGGAACATTCTGATGCAGAATTTTTCAAAAAAGCTGGCTACTCTACTTAAACATTCTGATGCTATTAAATATCTTGATTCTTTGTCACAGTTTATGCAGTTTCAGAAGATAAAACAAGCTCCATTATTAGTTAGCTTTAAGATAGCTGTTTCTATTCTCAGCAATAAAAACTTACACCTCTTAAGCCCTTTGGTTACCTTTGTTCTGTTCTGTTATCTTACACAATCTTACACCTTTCTCTTTCTTTAGGCTTTTGGCTACGTATGAAACCGTAGATAGCAACAATGAGAGAGCTTCTTCTGATCAAGCTACAGCACTTCATCCTTTTGTTGATTGCCAGGACAAGGCATGTGCAAGTTAGACAACCTTGTGTGTGTTGTGTTACTCAACTTATTAATCTTAGTTTGGTATGATTCTTCTGTCCAGGGAGGAGACATTCTTTCTCGAGTTTCGCATACTCACGATGTTATCAAGTAAACTGCCTTTTTATCTCACTTACACATGTTTTGTGTATAAAGGAAACATAAGTTGATTATGCATTTCATGTACAGGACATTAGACAAAACTATATCGTCTCTTGAATTAGAACTAGCTACAGCTCGAGCAGCAAGATCTGATGGATCTCCAGCTGTTTCAAAATCAGTAGCTGATCGATCCAAGGATCGGCCTCGTATGTTCTTTGTAATGGGAATCATGACTGCTTTCAGTAGCAGAAAACGAAGAGACTCCATAAGAGGAACCTGGCTCCCTAAAGGTTCAACAAGCTCAAGAAACATCTCTTATGTGACTCAAGTGTTTAAAAAATTGTTGCTCAGCTTTGTTCATTTCCTTTGCAGGAGATGAACTGAAAAGACTAGAGACAGAGAAGGGAATCATTATGCGATTTGTCATTGGTCACAGGTAGAAGTTGAGACTATTTGTAGCTTCGAGTTGACTATTATAATTATTTGATTTATCGTCAACCCTTCCTTGATAGTTCTTCTCCTGGAGGAGTCTTGGACCACACCATTGAAGCAGAAGAAGAACAACACAAGGACTTCTTTCGCCTGGTAGATCCCCTTGTCTGCGTGCTTATGTTCTTTTGCGTTTGTTATTAAAAAAACTAATCAAATGTTGCAGAATCACATGGAAGGTTATCATGAGTTGTCATCTAAAACTCAAATATACTTCTCATCTGCTGTTGCAAAATGGGATGCAGACTTCTACATCAAAGTGGATGATGATGTTCACGTTAATCTCGGTCAGTTTCCATAAAACCATTCTCAGTGTCTTTGAAAGCATTTATTCCAAGCAAAAGCTTAATCAATCTCTAATGCAGGAATGTTGGGTTCTACATTGGCTCGCCACAGATCAACACCGCGAGTCTACATCGGTTGCATGAAGTCTGGACCTGTCCTAGCTCAAAAGTAAGCAACAAAGTCTGTCACAAGCTCATGTTTTCACACAGATCGTTGACTCTTTTTCGTGGATGGCAGAGGAGTCAAATACCATGAGCCAGAATATTGGAAGTTTGGTGAAGAAGGAAACAAGTACTTCAGACATGCCACTGGACAAGTCTACGCCATCTCCAAAGACTTGGCAACTTATATCTCAGTGAACCGGTAATCTCTCTCGCCTAGTATTCTTTACAATTCCATTATTAGTTGATTCACAATCTCTTTTCAGGCAACTACTTCACAAATATGCAAATGAAGACGTCTCTTTAGGATCATGGTTCATTGGTCTGGATGTTGAACACATTGATGACAGAAGCCTCTGCTGCGGAACACCCTTAGGTAAAATCAAATAAAGCCATTGAGATTCAAGAAGCAACGTGTAAAATGAGATTTATGTGTGTGGTGCAGATTGTGAGTGGAAGGGCCAAGCTGGGAATCCTTGTGCAGCATCTTTCGACTGGAGCTGCAGTGGAATCTGCAGATCAGTGGATAGAATGCTTGAAATACACCAACGCTGCGGAGAAGGCCAAGGAGCAATATGGCATACCAGTTTCTAAGCTCTTTGACCTATGTTTAATGTATAGCTTCAGCTTCTTTATTATTATTATTATGGACGATGATTAGTTTAGGTTTTGATTAAACATTATATTGCACGGATCATCTAAAGCCTCAAGTTCTGCCTCCTAAATTGATAATGAATGATTCTTCTTGCAAAGTTTGGTTCTTTTCATGTTTAGATGATATTAGAGAAACACAAAAAAATAAATATTCTTTTTATATATATATATTTACATATTCAAGAGTCAAAACAGCAAAAGAGAATGAATCAATCACAAAGAATGATTGTAATTAAGTTTTTTTTTTTTAATCAAAATTGTATTTACATGGAAGGAATTAGACAAGAAAGAGTAAGCAGATCAAGAACGAACAATGGTCTCGAAGAAGTTAAGCCCGTCGAGCTCCAGAGCACACCTCGGTTGCTTCGCCGCAAAGTTTGTTGCTTTTTCATCTTTCTTCAGCGAAGACGCGGTTTGGCCGCCACCGACGCCGGAAGAAGCACCGTTGCGTTCAGAGGGGTTGCAGATGTAAGAAGCAGCGGTGACTTTCTTACCCATCATCTCAGCGCACATGGCGTCGAAGGCACTGAACATCGAATTCATTATCTCAACAATAAGGAGAGATTATGGCAAAGCTTTAAGGGTTTGGTTTTGTTTATATAATAGAGTTTATAAAGACGCGACGAAACTGGGCCGTGTTGGATAAGGAAAAGCGAAGTTGAAAATTTCCAATTTTTTTTTTTTTTTGCAAGAGCGTGTCAACCCCACACGCGTCGACCTATTTTCTTTATTGGTTCTGCGTGATATGTGGCAAATTTGACAAATATTAGATTTTTTAAGGTTTGGACTTCTGGTTGAACTCTAATTTATCAAATCCCAAGTTTACTTTTCTTTTGTATGAGAAAACTAATGGCTACCCTTGAATCTTATTATAGAAGGGAACATGTTTGTGTGTTTCATGTTAATTATTCTTGTGTTTTTTGGTTAGATACACCTGGACCTGGTTCATGAAAACTATAATCTATATATGAGCTAATTTTTTGTTCCATTTCTGAACTAATATTTGCTTTTTTTTTCTTGTGTTGATTAGGTCATATGTTCGGTAGACAAAAGCAGAATTAGGCCATTTGTTTGGTTTCAACTTTCAAGAAACTTGTTTCTCTTAAACAAAAGACTTGGTGCTGCAGGCAAGGTCAGCCAACTTATTTAGACCCAAATAAATAAATAAACATGCTTTAGAATAGTTGACCGATCCGATATCCTGATATTTAAAAATGAAATTAATATTGATGTAGATCAGATTCGGTTGGACTGAATGTCTCTTCAAAAAGACTCAAATTCAACCACCACATAATTTTCACATATAGGAAAAACAATTCAATATATTACAAAAGTTGAGTCTTACGGTTAAATCTCGTTACTAAATGAAAAATAAACATTTTGTTTGGCAATTCTTATTTGACTCTTTTGCAGTAAACATTAGTTGGAGAATGTAGTTTGATCAATAACGCTCTTTTTGAACTAGGTTTGAAAGTTAGAGCATCACCTCTGTTCGACTAGGCGGCCGATTAAACGCTCCTTGGTATACACCTGCGGCGATTTTGACCAAATTATTTCGGTATACACCCCGCGGCGATTTTGACCAAATCGTTCAAAAAAATCAGAACTAAATTAATCGATCCATTAAGCTGATTAATCGACCCACTAACCGATTAATCGGATTATTTACCAATTAATCGGTCCTGTTAAAGATAAACGGACATCAATATTTTAAATTATGCATATATTTTTATGGGCTTCAAAGGAAGCCATATGCTTACCATTACAAAGCATTTGTACTCTTTATATAGATTAAGATTTTGTCCACTTTTTGTTTGGTTAAACGATGTGGGATATCTTTTTAACACGAAAATAATGTTAAGAAAATAATTAAAACGCAGCTTGGAGGAGTCGAAGTCGGGTTTGTCAACAGAGCACAAAAGAACTCTACCGCTAGGAGACAATAGCTTGTGTTGTTCATCATGCATACGTTAATATATATACATTATATATATAGAAAACTTCAAAAACTAATTTTTGATTAATCCCGATTAATCTCTGATTTGTTACCGAGGCGCTAGGCGCAACCCGAACGTCCGACTAGCGCCTAGCGAGTTCTTGAACATTGAGCATCACTAATGTATCATTCCATTTTTAACTTTAAAATAGTGACGGGGATATATTTTACTTCAATGTATTACTCTATTTTTAATTAAAAAGGAATATTTTAAAATAATTCAATTTTTATTTAGTTAATAATAGTTAATAATACTTTCTACATATAAAAACTTACCAATAAACCCTAACTATTTTATATTTACAAGATTTTCCGTAAAATATCTTTTATTTAAATTAAACCTTTATTACTAAAATACAATAAATCATAAAATATATATAAGATATCATATTTTGGTTTAATAATGAGCATTAAAATATTTTTTTCCACATATGATCAACTAATGCATTTCATAATGAATAATAAATTTTTAATCCATGATTTTTCGAAATCGAGCAAGAAAATATTCATCTTTTGCAATTTTGATATAAGCAAGTGGAGATTATTTTCCGACCTCAATTGGTACATTGAATTCATGCTCATCCTCAATTATTATGTTATGTAAAATTACATATGTAATCATATTGAACCTAAGATCAATAAGCTCTTTCTCAATTTACTTCGTTTGGACAATACTTCACCGATCTTGGAAGTTCAGAAGAGATTTACCGGATTAATAAATCATTTATTTTATATTAAACTATGTTTATTTTTATTTTATTTTATTTATGGTTTTGATATTTTTATTAGTTTATGCATATTTTATGTAAATTATTAAATAAAATCTTGTGGAATGTAATAATTATTTTCACGTTATTGTATCTTTGTAAGACATTATTTAAGTATGAAATAAAAACATTAAAAATGTTAAAAATATCGAGTAATAAATAATTAAAAATTCACCGTCAAAATGGATTTATGAATAAGATTACTCTATTTTGGAGTTGAAAATTGAGTCGAGTTGGAATATATTTGACTCCAAAATGATATTTGGAAGGAAAAATAGAGTAAGATTAGAAATACTCTTAATAACTTTATTTATAATCCAACTTATTGTTTTCCCTCTAGAGTTACAACTAAAGAATTGTGTCAACTAAAATTTATTATCTTTTTGGAAAAAATTAATTAGGGAATTGCATAAAAACCTTTACAGTGAATTAAGGGTTTTAGATGATTGTGAGATTTGATTAACATCCCTTGTAATTGAAGTAATGATTTTGATTTTTTTTTTTCAAATCCCATGTTATTCCATTGATCCCAATAGGTTGAGAACTCTTCCTATCTTGTTTCCATTGCCTTGACTAGAAAATCCAATTCTCAAAAGCTTTGTCCCAGTCTTGTGCATAGTCGTCCAACTAGTAAAGAAAATCTATACACTCATCAAATGCTCTCGTATCTACGTATCTGAAATCTCCTTCAACGTTAATCGTCTCTGTAAATGCAAGAACTGTGGTATAGATGTAAAGCACAAAATACACCAGAAAATATACAAAGATATGTGTATTTGCTAGTATTCTTTTAAATCGAACTTACAAGTCTCTCTTTAAACATAATCTTAAGCCTCACACGTCCTAAGATCGAATACAAGATCTTAGAACATTTCCTCTTAGCCCTTAGTGCTTTCACTCGCTTACAAGCTTATGAAATCCACTCTTATGCTAAGAATACAATTTTGGTGACAACCCTAATACCTAGGCCGTACAAGACTATATATACATTATAGTCAAGTTGGCTACCCTAGCCTATCTATCCAATATTTACTAAATATCCAAATATGGTAAGTTACCAAAAACTCATACTAAGTCTTTTGTGAACTTCCTATTTACGAGATCTCCCTTCTCCAAGGTGAATCTCTCCATGCTTTCTCTTCAAGTCTTCGTTGCACTAACTCCAACTTGATCGCCAAGCCATTCTTCAAGTCTTTATCTTGTTCATCCGCATGCACACTCTCTGTCGTAGACTCTGCTCCATTCGTTGTTGCACTTGCGTCTGTATCAGAATGTCCACCTAATCTTTGCACCTTCAGCCCCTCCCTTTTTAGCTTTGAATGCTCATCAAGTACTTGTAAAAGAATCCATTCATAACAACCAAGCATATCTGGACATATATTCCTGAATAGTACGTGCATTAAAAACTTAAAAGGTTCAAGCCAAACAACCATAGAAGTTACCAGAAATACAACACCGAGATAAACAAACACCAAGATTTTTCCCTCTCTTACTCCCCCAAAATAAAAGACAAAAACTTCCCAGAAACTAAAGCTCGGTTTCATCAGCTGGTCCTTATGGATTCTCTGTCTCATCTCCCCCTGCTTGAGAGCATTCAATGTTTAAAAACGTGAAAGATCATAAAGAGCCATAAATTAGATATAAGACTTACTCTGGTGCAGCATCTGAGCTATCTGTTTCACAACAATTGTGAGAGTCTGCATTGCGTCTCCTGATATACCATGATTTTGACCCACTTTTAGTCATGGTATTGATATGTTTTTTATGTATATTTACTACAATATAGAGTCTATTTAGAGTATTTACAGGTTCAGGTACGTTCTGGAGAAATATGGCGATTTTGGTGTCTTTTGGAACCTTTTCGTGCAGAACTGTGCAGACGTGTCAGATGTTTAGATATGGATGGAGACCTTCCCATGGTGAGATTGCGCCCACATTTGGACACAAAATAGAGATTTGAGTTAGCTTTCCCATGCCACCAGTTTGGGGTCAATCCAACGGTTAGATCAGAAGTTATGCCCATTTTACTGAAGAGTGGTCAGTCTGCCTCGCGAGAGAAGGCTGTCGAGAAGAGGAATGCATATCGATTGATGAGAGACACTTCATATCGATCGATATGGATGCCGGAATGCAGGCCGAGTATATTTCATGACCAACTGAAGCCCAGAAGAAACCTAAATTACCAGAATGCCCTTGGTCGACCAGAAACCCTATTTATGTTATTTGCAAGCCATTGTTGACGGCTACGGTATCTACGCTTTCTTTTCATCTTTTGTTTCATTGTTCTTAGTGAGGAGAGAAGAGGGGAACTCCTTCAGAGTCCTCTTGGAACTCCATTGGAATTATCTTTATTTTCTTATTCTACTATTATTCAGACTATGATTTGTGTTTCTTCTATCATGTCTGAGTAGTTCATCTTGTTAGGTTTAGGGATTTCATGAGTTTAACGCCAAACTGAATATCAATTAGGATTGCTAGAATATCTATAGAACTCTACATCAGGGTGATTTGTAATACTAGGATCTGGAGTAATTAGGATACCACGATAGTGTGACTGATTGCTTGAACCTAGAATCATAGGACAATTGAGATACACAAAAGTGCAGTCAATTAACGGAACCCGAACCCTGCTGGATTAGATACTTAGGCGCATATGAGAATTTGGTCTAGGAATCTAGTTGAACATAATCGATTAGGTCGTTAGTGCTTGTCTGAGGTAATATCGATCGATACTCACTTCTTGTTCGCATGCGAAAGATGGAACAAGGACTTAGACATCTGATTAGTAATTGCATTGATAGATG